GAGAGAGGAGAGGAGAGGAGAGAGAGAGAGGAGAGGAGAGGAGACGAGGAGAGGAGAGAGGAGAGAGAGAGAGAGAGGAGGAGAGAGAGAGAGGAGAGAGAGAGAGAGAGAGAGAGAGAGAGAGAGGAGAGGAGAGAGAGGAGAGAGAGAGAGAGGAGAGGAGAGAGGAGAGGAGAGAGGAGAGAGGAGAGAGAGAGGAGAGAGAGAGAGAGAGAGAGGAGAGAGAGAGAGGAGAGGAGAGAGAGAGAGGAGAGGAGAGAGGAGAGGAGAGAGGAGAGAGGAGAGAGGAGAGAGAGAGAGAGAGGAGAGAGAGAGGAGAGGAGAGAGGAGAGAGGAGAGAGGAGAGAGGAGAGAGAGGAGAGGAGAGAGGAGAGAGGAGAGAGAGAGAGAGAGAGAGACGAGAGAGAGGAGAGGAGGAGACGAGGAGAGAAACACAAAACTGCACTTCTGGATTTCTACCTGATGACATCACAAGGTGTTATGAGCCGTGGACCAGTCACGAGAAAATACTTCACTGACGTCATCGTTCAGGATCAAAAAGTTTTGTGAATTTTTTTTATCCATTTTGATGTTTTAAGGTCAGATTTGTGCTGTAGAGGGGAGACTACATGACTGCTATGGCTCATTATTGGTTCATTCTGTTGTTTATCTGTTTATTTGTCTGTTTACATTTTTAATGTTCAATTCATTTTTTTATCTTCATTTCTATTTGTGTGTCAAACCATAATCGAGTTAAAACAATTAAAGCTTAAACAAAGTTTATTTTGGGATATTTTTGATATAAATAAGTATATTTATTTTATTGTTAAATGTAGAGATTTTAGAACAGCTGGACGTAGAGTTTATTTTGGACGTAGAGTTTATTTTGGACGTAGAGTTTATTTTTTACACATTTATGTTTTTCTGCTTATTTCATGTTCAAAGTCACAAACGGCTGGAAGGTTCAGATCTGCAGCCAGTGGAGCCGAGAGTCGATCAGGAGCTGCTGATACGAACTGTGTGTTGTTCAAAATAAAACCAAAAAGAAGAAAACAAAAAAAAAGAAACAACAGTTTTCTTCATTATTTGTCTCCAAAACCAAAATGAAAAAAACAGAAAATGATTTGTTTTTTTCAGTTTTCAGTTTAAATGAATAATGGAAAAAACGTTTTCAGTCTCTCCCGGTCTCAGTCTGTCTCAGTCCCGGTCTCAGTCCCGGTCTCAGTCCCGGTCTCTGTCCCGGTCTCAGTCCCGGTCTCAGTCCCGGTCTCAGTCCCGGTCTCAGTCCTGGTCTCAGTTCTGGTCTGGTCCCAGATCTGGTTTAGTCCTGGTTCAGTCCGTTACCTGTTTTTTCCAATATTCATTTAAACACAAAACCAAACTGGGAAAAAAATAAATAAATCATTATCTGTTTTTTTTTCATTTTGGTTTTGGAGACAAATAATGAAGAAAATCATAGTTTTTTCCTGTTCTTATTTTTTGATTTTATTTTGAAAAACAAAAGGACACATGGATTTGATACAGTGCACACTTCAATACAGTGAACTTTCAATTTAATACGATATATTTCAAATTGATTTGATACGGTTCAATAAAAATAAAGTGTAAATCTCGTCTGTGACTCTAAAAGTTTTTGTTCAATCACAAATCTTATGCAAAGTTCAAATGAAACACAAACATTTAAATCCTCAAAACAGTGAAAATGTCAAATGTGTCGCGTAAACGAGTTTCCTTCTGAACAAACAACAAAACTGGAACTGGAATTTTGTAAAATAAACCAAAAAAAATCTGTTGGTGATATATCGATACAACAGCCCACGATATCGATACTGAATCATCACATTAAATCGATATTTTTACATAAACTTAGTGGCCTAAAATTATTTTCAGTTTGAAGGTTTTGCGTAAATTATCAACAACAAAGTGTATTTTGAGAGAGAAATGTTGAATAAAAGCATCGTGCCACTAAAAATAATCGTGTGAATATTTGTGATTTCAATATTGACCCAAATAATCGTGATCAGGATGTTTTTCATAAATAATCGAGCGGCTCTGCAGGTTTTTAAGTATTTTCAGTCTTTTCGTTTGTCGTCGTGTTTCTGTGTCTTTGATGAGATTCCGTTGACGTTCCGTGACATTCCGGGCGTCGTCGTGCGTCGCTCCGTCCTCCCGCCGTCGTGTCGTTTGTTTAAACGGGACATCGATCCGGGCGGCGGCGTCGGGGGGCGGGGCCTGTTTCCATCAGAATGAAGCCGTCGCCGATTCGTTAAATTCATGTCGGACTTGACTGTGACAGCGGCTCCTCCCCAGCCCCCGGTGACCTCTGACCCCTGACCCCATCACGCCGCCGCCGCCGCTCGGACCCTCTAACAACAACGACACACACACACACACACGCCAGAGCTGTGTGTGTGTGTGTGTGTGTGTGTGTGTGTGTCGTGTGTGTGTGTCTGTGTGTGTGTGTGTGTGTGTGTGTGTGTGTGTGTGTGTGTGTGTGTGTGTGTGTCTGTGTGTGTGTGTGTGTGTGTGTGTGTGTGTCTGTGTGTGTGTGTCTGTGTGTGTGTGTGTGTGTGTGTGTCTGTGTGTGTGTGTGTGTGTGTGTGTCTGTGTGTGTGTGTGTGTGTGTGTGTGTGTGTGTGTGTGTGTGTGTGTCTGTGTGTGTGTGTGTGTGTGTGTGTGTGTGTGTGTGTGTGTGTGTGTGTGTGTGTGTGTGTGTGTGTGTGTGTGTGTGTGTGTGAAGAACAAACGCACAACTGAAGCTCTGAGCGAATTTAATCTGATGTTTAAATCTGTGTAATTATACGACACGACCACGAGGAACAAAGAACAGAGGAGAGAGGAGGAGGAGGAGGAGAGAGAGGAGAGAGGAGAGAGGAGAGGAGGAGGGAGGAAGAGGAGAGGAGAGAGGAAGAGGAGAGGAGGAGAGGGAGGAGGAGAGGAGGAGGAGAGAGAGGAGGAGAGGAGAGGAGAGGAGAGGAAGAGGAGAGGGAGGAGGAGAGGAGGAGGAGAGAGGAGGAGGAGAGGAGGAGAGGAGGAGGAGGAGGAGGAGAGGAAGAGAGAGGAGGAGGAGGAGAGGAAGAGGAGAGGAGAGAGGAGAGGAGAGAGAGAGGAGGAGGAGAGAGGAGAGGAGAGGAGAGGAGAGGAGGAGAGGGAGAGGAGAGGAAGAGGAGAGAGAGGAGGAGAGGAAGAGGAGAAGAGAGGAGAGAGAAGTGAAGGAGCAGAGGAGGAAGAGAGGAGCAGAAGAGAGTGAAAGGAGAAAAGGAGCAGAGGAGCAGAGGAGAGGAAGGAGAGGAAGAGAGGAGGAGCAGAGGAGGAGAGGGTCAGCGGAGGAGTGGAGTGAAAGAACAGAGGAGCAGAGAGGAGAGGAGCAGAGGAAGAGAGGAGAAGGAGAGAGGTCAGAGGAGGAGAAAAGGAGCAGAAGGAGCAGAGGAAAGGGACAGAGGAGGAGAGGAGAAGAGGAGGAGAGGAGAAGAGGAGAAGAGGAGGAGAAGAGGGTCAGCGGAGGAGAGGAACAGAGGAGAGGTGGAGAGGAGGAGCAGAAAGGAGCAGAGGAAGAGAGGAGGAGGAGAAGTAAGTGAAAGGAAGAGAGGAGCAGAGGGTCAGGGGAGAAAAGGAGGAGAGGAGAGGGTCAGAAGATGCAGAGGAGTAAAATGAACAGAGGAGCAGAGAATTGAAGGAGCAGAGGAGGAGAGGGTCAGAGGAAGAGAAGAAGAGAGGAGGAGAGGGTCAGAGGAAGAGAAGAAGAGAGGAGGAGAGGGTCAGAGGAAGAGAAGAAGAGAGGAGGAGAGGGTCAGAGGAAGAGAAGAAGAGAGGAGGAGAGGGAGAGAAGAAGGAGGAGAGGGTCAGAGGAGGAGGGGAGGAGGGGAGGAGAGGATCAGAGGAGCAGATAAAGTCCTTGTCGTGCTCTGTCACTTTCACTTTCTGTTTTACACCTAACTCGCGCACTTGGCCCCTCCCCTCCCTCCCCCGCGGCCCCGCTGACCCCTGACCCGTGACCTCATCAGCAGCGGACGTGCGGCGCGTTTGGCAGCTGCGAGTGATGCGGCGTCGACCTTTCGTCCGGTCCAAAGGGACTCATCCGTCTGCGTCCTCATGCAAATCAGCTGTTTATAAGAGACATCGACTCCCTGCCAGTGTATGGAAATACCCCGACCCCCCCCCCCCCCCCCCCACCCCCCCCCCGCCCCCCCCCCCCCCCCCCCCCCCCCCCCGACCCCCCCCGACCGCATCGATCCGCCCCGAGCTGCTGCTGAGCGCCTCAACGCAACACAAACACACACACACCAACGCACAAACACAACCTCAACACAACCTGAACAACCACAGTTTACAGCAGCAGCAGCAGCAGCAGCAGCAGCAGCAGCAGCAGCAGCAGCAGCAGCAGCAGCAGCAGCAGCAGCAGCAGGTGTCACAGAAATCAAGGTAATTTCAGAACCGTTTCCATAGCAACCGTAACGTAAACAAGGAACAAAACAAGAGTCTAAAAACCCATTAACTTTATTACAACAAAAACCTACATTTTAATTGTATTTACTTATGGCCCTCGTCTGTGTTAAATATTATTATTATATATGAATCCATTTGATTTTGAATCTTAAATACTGTTGAATTTAACTTTGAAAAAACAGGATTTAATCATTTTTATTCAGAATTTTAGTTGCTGAAATTCTAAGTGTACTTTGTCAGTGTTTCAAGTTCTCTCTATATATAAATGACCTTTTAAATATTCAGCACAAATGTGTCCAAACCTCAAATTCAACAGTCAAAATTCAGAGTGTGAAATTCAGAATGAAAAAAAAATCCCAGCAAAGATCCAAGACGCTGAGGCAGAAGAGTCGATCCAGAGTGATCTGATCTAACTTAGTAACAAACAGAAAATGGAGCAGTGGAGCGATCTGATTGGTCAGAATTCACCTCATCAAAACCTCAAACCCCGCCCCCAGATGAGAACCACGAGGAAGCAGCCTCTGTTCACACAGGATCAATGCTTCTGCCTCGGCGTCTGGGATCAGGTGACCTACCTCCCACAGGTGTCTGGAGTTCCTCAGGATTCCGCTGTGGAGCTTCTCGAGGAGCAGAGGAACCCCCTGAAACGGACCGATCCACGTCCCCTGAGGAATCCTCTGCGCCGCACAGATCCCATAACCCAGACCCGGAACCGTACTGGTGCACAGGCACACCTGGAACAACAACAGAGGCATGACTACACAGACACCAGGTGAGGACAGGTGAGAACAGGTGAGTACAGGTGTTACAGGTACAGGTGTTGGTACAGGTGAGTACGGTACAGGTGAGAGTACAGGTGAGAGGTACAGGTGAGGTACAGGTGAGTACAGGTGGTACAGGTGGACAGGTGAGGACAGGTGGTGAGGACAGGTGAGGACAGGTGAGGACAGGGGTGGTACAGGTGAGTACAGGTGAGTACACAGTGTACAGGACAGGTGAGTACGGTGAGTACAGACAGGTGAACAGGTGGTACAGGAGTTGGTACAGGTGAGTACAGGTGAGTACAGGTGAGTACAGTGTACAGGTGTACAGGTGAGGACAGGTGAGTACAGGTGAGTACAGGTGTTGGTACAGGTGAGTACAGGTGAGTACAGGTGAGTACAGTGAGACAGGTGAGACAGGTGTGGTACAGGTACAGGTGAGTACAGGTGAGTACAGGTGAGTACACGAGTACAGGTGAGCACAGGTGAGACAGGTGATACAGGTGAGGACAGGTGAGGACAGGTGAGTACAGGTGAGGACAGGTGAGGACAGGTGAGTACAGGTGAGGACAGGTGAGGACAGGTGAGTACAGGTGTTGGTACAGGTGAGTACAGGTGAGTACAGGTGAGTACAGGTGAGTACAGGTGAGGACAGGTGTTAGTACAGGTGAGTACAGGTGAGCACAGGTGAGTACAGGTGAGTACAGGTGAGTACAGGTGTTGGTACAGGTGAGTACAGGTGCGTACAGGTGAGTACAGGTGTTGGTACAGGGTAAGTACAGGTGAGCACAGGTGAGTACAGGTGTTGGTACAGGTGAGTACAGGTGAGCACAGGTGAGTACAGGTGAGCACAGGTGAGTACAGGTAAGTACAGGTGAGCACAGGTGAGTACAGGTGTTGGTACAGGTGAGTACAGGTGAGCACAGGTGAGTACAGGTGAGCACAGGTGAGTACAGGTGAGTACAGGTGAGCACAGGTGAGTACAGGTGTACAGGTGAGCACAGGTGAGTACAGGTGAGTACAGGTGAGTACAGGTGAGTACAGGTGAGTACAGGTGAGTACAGGTGAGTACAGGTGAGCACAGGTGAGCACAGGTGAGTACAGGTGTTGGTACAGGTGAGCACAGGTGTAGCTGTACCTCTCGGGGCAGGTCTCGGAGCCAGTCGGGCACATCGGGCAGAGCCACAGGAGCCGCGGTGCTGCTGGTGCCCACCAGGCGGCGCAGGGAGTGAAGAGGCCCGTGCATCGGACACTCGCCGTTTCTGTTGTCAGCGCACATGTCACAACCTGAGAGACGGAAGAGACGGAAGAGAGAAAGAAGAGACAGAATAAAATAAAAGAATTATCTATTATTTAGAAGAAATATCCCACAGTGGAGCTTTAACCCTGTTCTCATGTACAGTACTGTCCTGGAGTTGGTGTTTTGTGTCGTTGACAAACTTTTGGTAAAAGTTCGTTCAGGCTCCTGCTCCACACTTCAGTATTTTAATTGATTGAGTCTTTTTAATTGACCTCCAGTTAACACCTGACACACACGGGGAGGCACCTGACACACACGGGGAGGGCACCTGACACACACGGGGAGGCACCTGACACACACGGGGAGGGCACCTGACACACACGGGGAGGGCACCTGACACACACGGGGAGGACACCTGACACACACAAGGGGAGGCACCTGACACACACACGGGGAGGGCACCTGACACACACGGGGAGGACACCTGACACACACGGGGAGGCACCTGACACACACGGGAGGAGGGCACCTGACACACACGGGGAGGGCACCTGACACACACGGGGAGGGCACCTGACACACACGGGGAGGCACCTGACACACACGGGAGGCACCTGACACACACGGGGAGGGCACCTGACACAACACACGGGAGGACACCTGACACACACGGGGAGGGCACCTGACACACACGGGGACACCTGACACACACGGGGAGGCACCTGACACACACGGGGAGGCACCTGAGGCACCTGACACACACGGGGAGGCACCTGACACACACGGGGAGGCACCTGACACACACGGGGAGGGACCTGACACACACGGGAGGGCACCTGACACACACGGGGAGGCACACTGACACCACACACACGGGGAGGCACCTGACACACACGGGGAGGCACCTGACACACACGGGAGGGACACACACGGGAGGCACCTGACACACACGGGGAGGCACCTGACACACACGGGGGAGGCACCTGACACACACGGGGAGGGCACCTGACACACACGGGGAGGCACCTGACACACACGGGGACGTTTCCTGTTTGTAGAGTCTAAACTTCAGTGTGAGCAGCTTTTACACAGAATAAGATGAGACATTTTGTTTTTATTTTAGCTCAAACTGAACCCAGCAGCTGCTCATCTGAGTCTTGTTTGGACCAACCTGGTGCTTCTGGGTCAAACCTGGTGCTTCTGGGTCAAACCTGGTGCTTCTGGGTCAAACCTGGTGCTTCTGGGTCAAACCTGGTGCTTCTGGGTCAAACCTGGTGCTTCTGGGTCAAACGCGGTGCTTCTGGGTCATGTGCGGTGAGCAGTGATGCATTATGGGTGTGATTTTCTGGACGTTCTGTGTTTTTATCAGACTCACATCTCCAGACTCAAGGAAGGAACCGAACTGAGAGGAACCTGGAGGAGATCCAGAGACAACAGGCCCCAGAAAAACCAGGACTAGACCAGGACTAGACCAGGACTAGACCAGGACTAGACCAGGACGGATCGTAGGTCCCTGTCGGTCCTGTCGGTCCTGTCGGTCCTGTCGGTCCTGTCGGTCCTGTCGGTGGTTTTTGGAGGGTGAAGAGTTGGACTTTTCTTCTCTGACGTTTGTCGTGTTTAGTTTCAGGAGATTCAAAGAGAGAAGCTTTTTTATTTGTTTTGAAAATGACAAAATAAAATGTTCACACACTGACACACGACGACACACACACACACACACACACACACACACACATACACACACACACACACACACACACACACACATCACACACACACACACACACACACACACGACACACACACACACACGCACACACACACACACACACACACACACACGACACACACACACACACACACACACGACACACACACACACACACACACACACACACACACACACACACACACACGCACACACACACACACGACACACACACACACACACACACACGACGCACACACACACACGACACACACACACACACACACACACACACACACACACACACACACACACAAGGAAAGACTTTCACTGCACAAACTCGGCTCCGGCCAAGTTCAGATTCCTCCGACTGACAAAGTTTGATCGTGATTTGAGTCAATTTCACTCAACAAGTAAAATTCTTCTGCCAACGGAACGAGACTTTTTGTTCTTAAAATACGAAAATACATCTCACTGCAGTTAAGAAAAACAACGACTTTTTTCACTTAAAATAAGAAACAAAATGTAATGTCGCTTGAATGAAGAAAAACAAACTTACTCCACCGGTCGATCATTTTACTTTTCAACTTGAATTGACTCAAATAAAGTCAAACGTTCTTAATTTAGGTAATTTTAATTTATCTACAGATTGATTTTTACAGTGTTTAAACCTTCATTTAAAGCTGCACTATGGAACTTTTCCGGTGGAGGGTCTGTGTTTGTCTGGAAGTGTAAATAATAAAACTTTAAAGTTTTAAAGAGTTATGAGTAAAATATCTGTCTGTGTACATTTGTGTCTCCATGACGATGTAATTTCTTTGTCTGGAATATTTTACAGTTTGTTATTTAACTGAACCAAAAAACACATTTGTTTGGTGTGATTTAAGGGAACATAAATAAAACGGAGGCTTAAACACCAATCAGAACAACTCGTTAACGAACATAACGAGGGTCCAACTCGTGACGCAGACCAAGACCAAGACCGGCCTCGAGAACTCGTTTTACAGTCTTGGTCTCGGCTCAGACTCGAGCGCATTTGGACTCGGTCTGGTCTCGGTTTTGGTTTTGGTCTCTGTTTGGTCTCGGTTTTGGACTCTGTCTGGTCTCGGTTTTGGTTTTGGTCTCTGTTTGGTCTCGGTTTTGGTCTCCGTGTGGTCTCGGTATCGGACTCCGTCTGGTCTCGGTTTTGGACTCCGTTTGGTCTCAGTTTTGGTCTCCATGTGGTCTCGGTTTTGGTCTCCATCTGGTCTCGGTTTTGGACTCGGTCTGGTCTCGGTTTTGGTCTCTGTTTGGTCTTGGTTTTGGTCTCTGTCTGGTTTTGGACTCCGTCTGGTCTCGGTTTTGGACTCCGTTTGGTCTCGGTTTTGGTCTCCATGTGGTCTCAGTTTTGGTCTCCATCTGGTCTCGGTTTTGGACTCTGGTCTCGGTTTTGGTCTCTGGTCTCGGTTTTGGTCTCCGTGTGGTCTCGGTTTTGGTCTCCATCTGGTCTCGGTTTTGGACTCGGTCTGGTCTCGGTTTTGGACTCGGTCTGGTCTCGGTTTTGGTCTCCGTCTGGTCTCGGTTTTGGACTCGGTCTGGTCTCGGTTTTGGTCTCGGTCTGGTCTCGGTTTTGGACTCCGTCTGGTCTCGGTTTTGGTCTGGTCTCGGTTTTGGATGGTCTCTCGGTTTTGGTCTGGTCTCGGTTTTGGACTCGGTCTGGTCTCGGTTTTGGACTCCGTCTGGTCTCGGTTTTGGACTCGGTCTGGTCTCGGTTTTGGTCTCCGTGTGGTCTCGGTTTTGGACTCGGTCTGGTCTCGGTTTTGGTCTGGTCGGTTTTGGTCTCTCGGTTTTGTCTGTCTGGTCTCGGTTTTGGACTCGGGTCTGGTCTCGGTTTTGGTCTCGGTCTGGTCTCGGTTTTGGACTCTGGTCTGGTCTCGGTTTTGGTCTCGTCTGGTCTCGGTTTTGGACTCCGGTCTGGTCTCTCTGGTCTCGGTTTTGGTCTCCGTCTGGTCTCGGTTTTGGACTCTGGTCTCGTTTTGGATTCCGTTTGGTCTCGGTTTTGGTCGTCTCTGGTTTTGGTCTCCGTCTGGTCTCGGTTTTGGTCTTGGTCTCATTTTAAGTCTCATTTAAAAACACACTTTTACTCACGGCTTTTCACACGATGTGAGGATTTGTGTCGTGTTGTAGTCGAGAATGAAACTAATCAAGACCAAAACCTCAGAGGGTCGAGATCGAGACAAGACCGAGACTTTTAAAGACTGAGACCGAGACCAAGACCACGGCCCATCGAGACCAAATCAAGACCAGCTTTGTCATTTCCTACATTTTTTAATTTTTTTTCCCCAGATATTTTGGCTCAAATATATCAGTGTTTATTTTTTGCTATTTTTCTATTAGCTCATTTTAGTTTTTTAATGTTTTTTATTTACTTGTTTATTTATTTTATGTTTTATTTCATTGAATGTGTTCATTTATATTGTGCTACTCTGTGCAGCACCTGGAGACTTTGTGTTTTTAAAATGTGTTATTTGTATTGTTTGGTTCTGGTTGTATTTATTGTGTATTTTTCAGATTATCAGTATCAATAATGTTGAATTGTCTCGTCTGTTTTCATACAAAAGTCTGAGTGGATCATGAGCATCAAGAGAAACAAACAGACGACACTTGAGTTTGATCTTTAGTCCAGTCGTGGTCGATCGTCGGCAGATCGTGGTGTTGTGTGTTTTATAAAAGTGAAGTGTGTGGATCATTTAAATTTGTTTTTTATTTCCTCTGAGGACGACTCAAACAAACACTGAGTAATAATGTGTTTAATGCAGCTTTGACACATTTGTTTATGTTTTACAGAAACTAAACTTAAAACCACATGACTCATTTGCATAAACTAATCACTCTGATAAAAACAGCTCTTTCCTTGTGACCTGATGTGGTTCAGTTTCTGTTGGACTGAAGGACACGACTCCGCGAGGCTCCAGACAGGAGCCATAACACTCCGACAATCCATCAAACATTGTGGCTTCAGATTTACCAAAGTCGTACTAAAACATTCTGACAGATTTTTGACGCCGTGTTCCACAGAAAATCAGTTCGAGATCAGTAACACGACCAGAATTACTTCACAAGTCACCGGATTATAAAGAGCACTGTCGATTTCTGAAAAACTTAAAGCACTTTAAGTTTGCTTACAGTCCGAAAAATACAGTTTGATACTTTGGATGGAACTAAAGTACTGTGATACTCAAGTGTACAACAGTAACATACAGTACAACACAGTACTATACAAGTGCTAGTATTATTAAGAAGTTTCCAGGTACAAAGTGAACCTCGACACACAGACCACAGCACCAAACATGTCACGATACAATCAACTTTCAATTCAATATAAATACAAGATATTTCACATTCATTCAGTACGGTTCAATAAGGCCCCGTTTACACGAAGCCGAGTATTTTTAAAATGAATATTTCCCTCCCTCCGTTTTCCAAAAAAAACATCGTGCACATGGCATCGTTTTTCGAAAAAGTTTCCGTTTACACTAACCCGGATAAATACGCCGTCGAGCGTCAGAGCGACACCGAGCCTCTGGGCGGCTTCTGTTACGCATAAAAAGTTGTTTAAAAATGTTTGCCGTACACACTTCCTTTACTATTTTTAACGCCGTCGATCGAGCGGGTCTGAAAGCGTTGGTCGTTTTGTGCAGTTCACCCTCGTCGGACACGTCGTACAAAGTGCAGGCAACTTTTTTTCCTGACACTGACCGGAGACGGCGTAACGGTCGTCTCACCCTCGATGTCGGAAAGTAACAGCAGCGACGACCGCGACATCCTAACATTCCCACGCCGCTCGCCCGGGACAACGACTTCAAAATGATCCCACCAGACAGCAGTTCGCCCCGGTCGGCAGTGTCGGGAAAGTTACTTTTCAAATGTAATCCCCTACAGATTACAGATTACACACACCAAAATGTAGTTTGTAACGTAATCCATTAAATTACTTAAAGTGAGTAATGTAATCTGATTACTTTGGATTACTTGATTTGCTGTAGAGAAACAAAGACGAGGAAATCTTCACATGAGAAGTTTTATCTGATAAAAGAAAATAAAAAGACCAAACTTTACTGAACCAAATTAAAAATATTATTGATACAAGACGAGGAAACACGTCACACAGCAGGATTTAGTCCTGTTTTAGTCCTGGTTTTAGACCTGGTTTAGTCCTGGTTTTAGACCTGGTTTAGTCCTGGTTTAGTTTCCGGGAATGAGTGGAATTAATGGGAAGAAAAAAAAAAAAAGGGAAATATCCCCAAATGTGAAAACAGTAAAATCCCTCTGTTTAATCCATTTATTTCAACAAAGTAACTGTAATCCAATTACCACTCACTGAAACAGTAACTGTAACTGAATACAGTTACTCATCATTTGTACTCTGATTACTCCGGTACATGTAATCTGTTACTCCCCGACACTGCAGGTCAGGGCGGACCTGACTGTTGCTCGGTAACAGGACGACCTGTCACTTTAAGAGTCAAAGTGGGTTTTTTCAGGACTAAAAGTGATTTTTTTGTGTTTTTTTGTGTTTTTTTGTGTTTTTGTTCAGACGTGAGATTTTCGGACTCGTTATCGACTCGACTGGAGGCGCAGACCAAACAGGAAGTCCCGCCCACTTCCCAAATGGCCCTGTGTTTTTTTAAAGTGACGGCGCGTTCACAGTGTGATGGATGGAGACGCCTCGGAACACTTTACACTCATTAATATCCA